ACTCTGCTGGACTTGGGCTAGTACCTGGGCCTTAAAAAATAACTAGCTAAATTTCTAGCAATGCTATCAAAGTAAGAATACTTTCCATTTGCCCCATTTAATACTGCAGACTTAGGATAATCTACTAGATTCAGAATTTAATGAAAAGGAAAATTCCAGAAATTCATGCCTACCTTGAATTAAAGGCGACACTCTTTAAATGATGGTGTAGTCATTTTCTCACAAGAATAAGGAACTGAATGCATTGACAAAATAGTACTAAGCAAGAAAGTACTAAACGTAACTACATCTATGTACCTATTAAACCTATAGGAACAGCCGTACAAGCATGTCACTAACTCTAATACAGCCTGACTTTTCTAAATAAGTTAAACGACCTCTAACCAATATAATGCCAATTTGGATGTCCAAAACATGACTAGTGAGCAGAATTTTTGCTATAACAAAGGAGTAAGTGTCATAAAATAGTGCAGCTTTTTAAATAGGTATAAAGCTAATTTTTTTTAAACTCTAGTATCCACATCATCTTTAAATAATAAGATTCTAAATGAAAAAATTTCATGGTTCACAACGAAGACATATGCCCAGAAGTTCAAAACTTACAAACAAGTAGAGAAAGAAACAGTAGCAGGACCCCAAGACATGAGTAGAGTATTAGTAGCTTGCACCGATGGGGATATACAGGAAACAAGCAAATTGCCAATGTCACCACAGGCCAGAAAAATGAGAGAAGCGTCTGCCAGAGAGGCCGCCGTTTAACAAAAGTCCATGCAAAGAAGGCGTCATTCTCAGAAAATACTTGGTCCTGCAAAAGACAGTCAAGGAATTACTAAATTTGGTGTGTGGTGCTTAAAAGAATACATGAAGAGAAGGCATAGCACACAGAAAGAGAGGGTTAAAATATTAATAAACTTACTCAAAGGATAAGTTTCATACACTTTGGATGGCACCATTAAGTTATTTCACCTTCATAGTTTCAGAGTTTTACAAAGATGCACAAAAACAATTCTAGTTCACACATGCATACAAAGTGAAAAAGATAAAATCTCATTTCAAGAAATTATGAATATAGCATAAACAATATAAAACAAAAACATAGATATCTAAGGTGAAAGTAAAAAGGACACAACATTATCACCACATGAATACAAGTATAAAGTACATGTACATAGTCTAAGCATGATCATGAAGGCTATGAGCACATGGACAAAGCAGATATACTGAAAAAGAAAGACCCCATTTATTCTTCTTAACCGGTCCCAAACAAACAAAAAGAAAGCCTTGTCCAATCTAAAGTATACTATACAAACTGTTTTCACCAAATATAAGCCTTGTCCAGTGTCCAATCTAAGCCTTGTCCAGTGTCATGATTGTAGAATATACAGAACACCAAATATAAAAGTAGGAGTCCATCACAAACATGAACAGGAGAAACTAGAAGGCGGAGCCTGCTAATTGCAAGGGCAGCAAGTTACTAGTTCAAAAGCAATTAAGAGGTTAACTTACTGGAAAGATCTCCAAATGTGCAGGCCATGTAGACAACTTTTTCTTTCCAGGACGAAGAGTTTTCACCACACGATCACAACGAACTAGAAGATTCTTTCTCAGTAAAACATCGGCAATATCTTCAGCTTCTAGATTTCTATCCGATTCTAGAATATCTTTGAGTTCAGGATGATTCCTCAAAAATTTTACAAAATCCTTCCCCCTGAAATATTCCACGCGTGTCTCCTGTAGAACAGCCCACCTAGACACCAAATCCTTATGGTCTCTCACCTTCTCTGCAAACAACTGGAACACATCCTTCTGGATAGCTTGTTTCTAAAAGAAAGTCAAATGGCAATCAGAAAAACAAGGAAAATACAAGCAGACTATAAGAACGCAAACCAATTGGCCAAAACATATCTTCCTTGAAAGAACAAAATCCAAAACATTATTGGACAAAAACAAGCATCAAGCCAAAAATATATATTCAAAAGAAAACAAAACATGGCCACCACTAAATAATAATTATCTAAGATTGAGATAATCAAGTGATACAGATGAAGGCATCATAAGCACTCATCCACACTAACAAATTAAAATTCGTTGCCAGTATCACCATGTAGGACACCATCTAAGTCTGCAATGCAAAATATCACCAAATCTCATTATGTGAGCTATGTACGGATTTGTTTTTGAATTAGTCTCAGGCTCTTTCACCCTAGAAACTCAATTTTGCATGATATCTAGAAGACTAGATGTTTTGCTATGACAATCTAAGTCCAACATTTTGCATGTTCGGCCAAAAGAACATAATAGAAACACAAAGTTATCATGTTGAAGGAATTCAATTCTATCGTAGCTTAGAGTAAATTACAGTATCTGAAAGATAAATAAGAAATCCTAATGCCAAAAATTTGAATCCTCCACTTACAATTCCCTCCACTGATATGGCTCAAAGTCCTACATTCAAAAAGTTCCACTTTGGATAGAAAATACAAACATACTAGACTCAGATATTAATTACAAAGGAATGTCCTCTGGGAATTGTTTTAACTTATAGTAAAGATGTAGAGAGTTATCAAAGGAAAGCAATTGGTCAGAGTATATCTTTCAGAGCTTTCCTGGAATTAGAGCCCATCTATGATTTCTTTTCTTTTTTTGGTTCTAATCTATGATTACTCTCCATTGCTCGCACAACACTAGGTAAAATAATTCTAACAATTGTTCATGCAAGAAACAGGAAGTGATCATTGATCATCTTGTGATCCATCTTGCAGTAGCCTCTTCCGCTCTACCACATTCTGTTTTCCTTTGCCCAGTAGACTTTATTTTTTCTCCTTTTTCTAGGCCAAACCATGTTGCTATTTAGAAAAACCCTGCCTGTCCACTACGCTAAAGATGCCAAAAACACAAATCAGGACAGACCAAATCGCACACATTTCAAAAGCTCTACCCTACACAACAAAATGATCCAACTTTCCATGACATATTCTTGCACCCTGAAGTACCTTCGATAACATTGAAGCAGACCCAACCCTAGTGACGATTTCCCCAAATGGATAGTCATAATTGTTCCAATAAATGCCCCAATAATTATAATTTACAATTTTGCATTTCTGAAACAATTAAACACATTATGTTCAATACTTTCAACTAGTTTCCTCTCCTACCCTTTTCAGCAACCCAGCAGAGCAACAAAAAAGACCAGTGCTTTTCACTACACATTATTGCAAGTAGTACAAATCAATCAGCAATTTGCATTACCCAGATATATACAAAATTCAATTGGGTTTTTCATATAGATGAAACCCTAGATCAAGGATGAGAGAGAATCAGAGAAAGAGAACAAACCCTAGGAGGGGTATCAGAGTTGGAATCTCTGCCGCCGTTCTGAATAGCGCCTGATGACCTTCGCACCCTTTTCTTCTCTGCCCCTCCTGCTTTCTTCATTTCTTCAATACCTTTCTGTTTTTTTTTGCTTCTCTCTCTGTGTTTTGTTCTGAAATGTATAGAGAGGAAAAAAAAATAAAGAACAAAGAAAATTACATTTACGTCTTTACATTAGGTTGCGCTGCTTCGTTTAAATTGGTGGAAATAATTAATGTAAAATGTAATTTGCAATTGTATTTTTCTTTTCTTTCATTTTGGCTTTTGGCTTCTTCTTATATTATGTGATTTCCTTTTGTTTCTTTTTCTTTTCTTTATAAGTCTGTAAATAAAATATATAAGTGGATATATATTTATATTATACTTTAAAAGTGGGAAATATAAACTCTGGCATCGACCATGCATCGGTGCATTTGTGTGCATTTACTAAAATCTTATAGTGATATTAATTCATTAAAAGAAAAAGGGATTGAGGGGTCAACCCTCCTCCATCTCCATCCCTAACGTAGCCCCCACCTTCTCCAAAGCACCACCCAATCTTCAATTCCATCACCTCAGTCTCTCCCCACCTTTCTCATCATCTCCTTGATTTCTTGTTGAATTAAATTCTATTCTTTGATTTTGTTTTTTAAGTTATGGTTTGTGCGATTCTTGATGCATTGCATCCATTCCGTACCTAAATCTCACATGCATAATAGATAGGAAAGAGATACATGGGAAAAGACAATTTCACAAACTAATAACAAAATGATATGTCGACAACACTTTATTGGACTAAATTCTCATCAAAGCGCATGTAATGAAAGAGATTCTTTCCAAATCACGCATTGATTAGGAACGAATAACATCACTTCAACTGGCAGACAACCTGCATAAAAGTTTCTGCTGATCATTGAAAAGTAGCATTGAATAATCTTTCAAAGAGGAGGGTGAAAAAATAATGAAAAAAAGAAGATAGTCCCTCGTACAATAATTTGATCCTCATAAATAGGCAAGGAACACTTCACAAAAGGTGAAAAGGACAAAAAACAGTGTAATCCATAATGCAGAGGTGGTGGTATGTCCTATTTAGTTACAACCCTGATCTTAAGGAACTCTGCTGGACTTGGGCTAGTACCTGGGCCTTAAAAAATAACTAGCTAAATTTCTAGCAATGCTATCAAAGTAAGAATACTTTCCATTTGCCCCATTTAATACTGCAGACTTAGGATAATCTACTAGATTCAGAATTTAATGAAAAGGAAAATTCCAGAAATTCATGCCTACCTTGAATTAAAGGCGACACTCTTTAAATGATGGTGTAGTCATTTTCTCACAAGAATAAGGAACTGAATGCATTGACAAAATAGTACTAAGCAAGAAAGTACTAAACGTAACTACATCTATGTACCTATTAAACCTATAGGAACAGCCGTACAAGCATGTCACTAACTCTAATACAGCCTGACTTTTCTAAATAAGTTAAACGACCTCTAACCAATATAATGCCAATTTGGATGTCCAAAACATGACTAGTGAGCAGAATTTTTGCTATAACAAAGGAGTAAGTGTCATAAAATAGTGCAGCTTTTTAAATAGGTATAAAGCTAATTTTTTTTAAACTCTAGTATCCACATCATCTTTAAATAATAAGATTCTAAATGAAAAAATTTCATGGTTCACAACGAAGACATATGCCCAGAAGTTCAAAACTTACAAACAAGTAGAGAAAGAAACAGTAGCAGGACCCCAAGACATGAGTAGAGTATTAGTAGCTTGCACCGATGGGGATATACAGGAAACAAGCAAATTGCCAATGTCACCACAGGCCAGAAAAATGAGAGAAGCGTCTGCCAGAGAGGCCGCCGTTTAACAAAAGTCCATGCAAAGAAGGCGTCATTCTCAGAAAATACTTGGTCCTGCAAAAGACAGTCAAGGAATTACTAAATTTGGTGTGTGGTGCTTAAAAGAATACATGAAGAGAAGGCATAGCACACAGAAAGAGAGGGTTAAAATATTAATAAACTTACTCAAAGGATAAGTTTCATACACTTTGGATGGCACCATTAAGTTATTTCACCTTCATAGTTTCAGAGTTTTACAAAGATGCACAAAAACAATTCTAGTTCACACATGCATACAAAGTGAAAAAGATAAAATCTCATTTCAAGAAATTATGAATATAGCATAAACAATATAAAACAAAAACATAGATATCTAAGGTGAAAGTAAAAAGGACACAACATTATCACCACATGAATACAAGTATAAAGTACATGTACATAGTCTAAGCATGATCATGAAGGCTATGAGCACATGGACAAAGCAGATATACTGAAAAAGAAAAACCCCATTTATTCTTCTTAACCGGTCCCAAACAAACAAAAAGAAAGCCTTGTCCAATCTAAAGTATACTATACAAACTGTTTTGACCAAATATAAGCCTTGTCCAGTGTCCAATCTAAGCCTTGTCCAGTGTCATGATTGTAGAATATACGGAACACCAAATATAAAAGTAGGAGTCCATCACAAACATGAACAGGAGAAACTAGAAGGCGGAGCCTGCTAATTGCAAGGGCAGCAAGTTACTAGTTCAAAAGCAATTAAGAGGTTAACTTACTGGAAAGATCTCCAAATGTGCAGGCCATGTAGACAACTTTTTCTTTCCAGGACGAAGAGTTTTCACCACACGATCACAACGAACTAGAAGATTCTTTCTCAGTAAAACATCGGCAATATCTTCAGCTTCTAGATTTCTATCTGATTCTAGAATATCTTTGAGTTCAGGATGATTCCTCAAAAATTTTACAAAATCCTTCCCCCTGAAATATTCCACGCGTGTCTCCTGTAGAACAGCCCACCTAGACACCAAATCCTTATGGTCTCTCACCTTCTCTGCAAACAACTGGAACACATCCTTCTGGATAGCTTGTTTCTAAAAGAAAGTCAAATGGCAATCAGAAAAACAAGGAAAATACAAGCAGACTATAAGAACGCAAACCAATTGGCCAAAACATATCTTCCTTGAAAGAACAAAATCCAAAACATTATTGGACAAAAACAAGCATCAAGCCAAAAATATATATTCAAAAGAAAACAAAACATGGCCACCACTAAATAATAATTATCTAAGATTGAGATAATCAAGTGATACAGATGAAGGCATCATAAGCACTCATCCACACTAACAAATTAAAATTCGTTGCCAGTATCACCATGTAGGACACCATCTAAGTCTGCAATGCAAAATATCACCAAATCTCATTATGTGAGCTATGTACGGATTTGTTTTTGAATTAGTCTCAGGCTCTTTCACCCTAGAAACTCAATTTTGCATGATATCTAGAAGACTAGATGTTTTGCTATGACAATCTAAGTCCAACATTTTGCATGTTCGGCCAAAAGAACATAATAGAAACACAAAGTTATCATGTTGAAGGAATTCAATTCTATCGTAGCTTAGAGTAAATTACAGTATCTGAAAGATAAATAAGAAATCCTAATGCCAAAAATTTGAATCCTCCACTTACAATTCCCTCCACTGATATGGCTCAAAGTCCTACATTCAAAAAGTTCCACTTTGGATAGAAAATACAAACATACTAGACTCAGATATTAATTACAAAGGAATGTCCTCTGGGAATTGTTTTAACTTATAGTAAAGATGTAGAGAGTTATCAAAGGAAAGCAATTGGTCAGAGTATATCTTTCAGAGCTTTCCTGGAATTAGAGCCCATCTATGATTTCTTTTCTTTTTTTGGTTCTAATCTATGATTACTCTCCATTGCTCGCACAACACTAGGTAAAATAATTCTAACAATTGTTCATGCAAGAAACAGGAAGTGATCATTGATCATCTTGTGATCCATCTTGCAGTAGCCTCTTCCGCTCTACCACATTCTGTTTTCCTTTGCCCAGTAGACTTTATTTTTTCTCCTTTTTCTAGGCCAAACCATGTTGCTATTTAGAAAAACCCTGCCTGTCCACTACGCTAAAGATGCCAAAAACACAAATCAGGACAGACCATATCGCACACATTTCAAAAGCTCTACCCTACACAACAAAATGATCCAACTTTCCATGACATATTCTTGCACCCTGAAGTACCTTCGATAACATTGAAGCAGACCCAACCCTAGTGACGATTTCCCCAAATGGATAGTCATAATTGTTCCAATAAATGCCCCAATAATTATAATTTACAATTTTGCATTTCTGAAACAATTAAACACATTATGTTCAATACTTTCAACTAGTTTCCTCTCCTACCCTTTTCAGCAACCCAGCAGAGCAACAAAAAAGACCAGTGCTTTTCACTACACATTATTGCAAGTAGTACAAATCAATCAGCAATTTGCATTACCCAGATATATACAAAATTCAATTGGGTTTTTCATATAGATGAAACCCTAGATCAAGGATGAGAGAGAATCAGAGAAAGAGAACAAACCCTAGGAGGGGTATCAGAGTTGGAATCTCTGCCGCCGTTCTGAATAGCGCCTGATGACCTTCGCACCCTTTTCTTCTCTGCCCCTCCTGCTTTCTTCATTTCTTCAATACCTTTCTGTTTTTTTTTGCTTCTCTCTCTGTGTTTTGTTCTGAAATGTATAGAGAGGAAAAAAAAATAAAGAACAAAGAAAATTACATTTACGTCTTTACATTAGGTTGCGCTGCTTCGTTTAAATTGGTGGAAATAATTAATGTAAAATGTAATTTGCAATTGTATTTTTCTTTTCTTTCATTTTGGCTTTTGGCTTCTTCTTATATTATGTGATTTCCTTTTGTTTCTTTTTCTTTTCTTTATAAGTCTGTAAATAAAATATATAAGTGGATATATATTTATATTATACTTTAAAAGTGGGAAATATAAACTCTGGCATCGACCATGCATCGGTGCATTTGTGTGCATTTACTAAAATCTTGACCATTTGATTATTCTAGTGATATTAATTCATTAAAAGAAAAAGGGATTGAGGGGTCAACCCTCCTCCATCTCCATCCCTAACGTAGCCCCCACCTTCTCCAAAGCACCACCCAATCTTCAATTCCATCACCTCAGTCTCTCCCCACCTTTCTCATCATCTCCTTGATTTCTTGTTGAATTAAATTCTATTCTTTGATTTTGTTTTTTAAGTTATGGTTTGTGCGATTCTTGATGCGTTCTGCATTGCATCCATTCCGTACCTAAATCTCACATGCATAATAGATAGGAAAGAGATACATGGGAAAAGACAATTTCACAAACTAATAACAAAATGATATGTCGACAACACTTTATTGGACTAAATTCTCATCAAAGCGCATGTAATGAAAGAGATTCTTTCCAAATCACGCATTGATTAGGAACGAATAACATCACTTCAACTGGCAGAGGAAGTCACCTCTTATATGCACATAGAGAAATTGCGTATTGACATCTCCAGTGGGTGTCGGCACACAGCACATAACCTTCAAAGTCGACAAACCAGTCACCTAGAGAAGGTAACAATATGTAAACATGGAATTTAAAATTTCGAAAAGAAAAAGATGAGGAGAAAAAAATTGATGAATGAAAAGAAAAGGACTTGTGGTGAACATGCTAATTATGATATATTATATTATAAATAATTCTTAAAATCATAGTATTTTTTACATTTAAAAAGAATACGCTTTGCTAGAGTTAATTCTTTTCCTTCTTTTTTTTTTTTTTTTTTGTGTGGCTATAAATGTATAAATAATGTATGTACATTTTATCACATAAGTGAAGAACTCTGGCATTTCGGTTAGGTTAGTTTTTATACTAAATTTTGATTCTTTGAAGATACTTGGGGGTTGTTTTTCTAAGGCTTTGAAGATACATAAGTTAGCATAGCATAACTTCAAAGTTGAGTTGCTAGAATCCATTGTTGGAATTTTAAAAAGGTTTTAAAAATTTAACCGTTTTATTTATTTAATTATTTTGGCTGTTTTATTTTATTTATTGTGGGGGGTTATAAATATCTAATATTCAGGTTTTATTTCTATATTGAATGCCTTAATTTTTTGGTTGATGAAGGTTACATGTTACTGGATGCCTATAAAAGGCCACTCCTCCTTCACATTTGAAACACACACAGTACACCATCAGAATATCACATACCACAATCACCACCACAAACTAATTCTCTCCTTTTCTACTTTTATATATATTATCTACTTTATATTATTATTTTGGCAATGGTTCTGTGACTTGGATACCTATATCCGTCTATAAACGTGCTCATAGCGGATCTTGAGTTTGTGTACAAGGGGTCATATCTTGGAGTCTGACCCCATTTATTCTTCTTAACCGGTCCCAAACAAACAAAAAGAAAGCCTTGTCCAATCTAAAGTATACTATACAAACTGTTTTCACCAAATATAAGCCTTGTCCAGTGTCCAATCTAAGCCTTGTCCAGTGTCATGATTGTAGAATATACAGAACACCAAATATAAAAGTAGGAGTCCATCACAAACATGAACAGGAGAAACTAGAAGGCGGAGCCTGCTAATTGCAAGGGCAGCAAGTTACTAGTTCAAAAGCAATTAAGAGGTTAACTTACTGGAAAGATCTCCAAATGTGCAGGCCATGTAGACAACTTTTTCTTTCCAGGACGAAGAGTTTTCACCACACGATCACAACGAACTAGAAGATTCTTTCTCAGTAAAACATCGGCAATATCTTCAGCTTCTAGATTTCTATCCCCAGCTTGACGAAAGCTCTGTCAAGCACTGGAACAGTTCTGCCATGAGGGAAAATGGGGAAGAAGGATGAATAGTGCACGAAATTGCTAGGTTTTGAAGATGAGAGGGAAGCTTGCTCTCTGGATG